GAAGAAGAAAGAGGCGAGGTAGGGAGAAGGAAGGAGAAGGGTGGTGAGGAAGGAGAAGACGGCAGCCATAGCTGACCGGCAGGGTTGACCGGGGGTGTTGACCGGGAGTTGACCGGGGGTCAACTGCAGCGTTGATCAAGCGTTGACCCAAGCGTTAACCAAGACAGTTGACCACAATTTTGACCAAGCTGGTCAAGTCTGTTTGTCTCTTCTTTCTGCATTGAGTCTCTTCTGTCCAGGTGATAGGAACTTTGTGGATGAAGGATACGGCCTTGTTGACCAAACCCACACGGGCTGAGTAGGGCTAAAGACTGTCTGACGACTCGACTGTCCCGGAGGACACGAACCCTCCCAAGGACCGGTACTGACCGGCGGGCTGCTCGTTGTGGCACGGTAGGCCCAAAATCCGAGCTGTGGGCTACACAACAGGCCGTCTAAGTCTTGAGAAGACCTGCTGATCGCGTCGTCCTGTCTGCGACGTTAAATAGTTCCTGAGGAGTTACGGGGGATCTCCTTAAATGCCTCCTGATCAGCAACTGGTCTTGCAATGACAGCCTTAGAGGTCTAGGCTAGAGACCCTAGTTGACAGGATCCTGTCCAGATTCTGTACTTAGATTGAGTCAGTAGGTTTGTCAGTCAGGGGGTAGAGTCCAAGTGGTGAGGAGTGGAACCGTATCTGGTTGTGCACCTAGCACCATGGTGGACACGCGTAGTGGAAAGAGCACTGCCCCACAGTCCGAGGCCGAACAGGCCCGGATTGCCGCCCTCCTGAGAGAGAGAAAAGAGAAGAAAGAGCTCCTCAAGCAGGCGAAGTTAAAAGCAATCGCAGAGGAGCAGGCAACGAAGAAGAAGAAGTTGGAAGAAGAGATGATGAGGTTACAGAAGAAGAACCCCTTGAAAGGAGGCGTGGAGGAGATAGAGGAGAGACATGTGGCACGAAGGGAGAGGACGCATGGATGGAGAAGAAAATTAGCGAGCGGGTAGCCAACTTATCGTTGGGCGAAGACGAAGAGGCATTGTTGTAGGTGCCGCAGGAGGAAAGAGAAGCATTCGCCAGGGTACTGGAAATGATGGAGGAGCCCCTGGAACGTCAGACAACAGAAGACGAAAAGAAGTTGGAGTGGAAGTTGCGTATGATGAGGGAGAAGAAGAGGACGGAGGAAGCCAACCGAGTGGCTAGAGAGGTGGAAAGAGTCCGGGCATGCAGACAGGAGATGCAGGCACAGGCAAAACCCCTGCGAAGTTAGATAAGATTATAGGGTACCTGGAGGTCCTGAGTGAGGCCTGGCTTGAGGAGCATCAGGCCAATAAGGGTCAATATGTGACCTTGCATGCCATCAAGTCGGGCTTTAGAAAGTTTGCGCGCGACATGGTGACCCACGTCGGGACCGAGGTTCAGAGATTGAAGGAGGACGTAGATAAGTTATGTGCAGATGCCATTGCAGGTGCCATTGAAAGCGCCGAAGTAGTGGCCACGACAGAAGTCGCGGCACGTCCCCGCAAGGAGCCTGTAAAGCTCAAATTCCCTGACGCTTATAGCAGGAAGACGGACGATAGCTTTGATAACTAGGAGGCCAGTACCAATACATATGTGTATCTGCAGCATATCGCCCCCGAGGAGCAAGTCCTCGTGGCCGTCCATGCATTGAAAGACAAAGAAGCCAGCTTCGCCAGGTCCCTTGCACGCGCCGCTGATTGAGAGCATAACATGATCGCGTATTCTAGGCTTACCCCTCTCTCCACTTTCCTCAAACTCCTGCGAGAGAGGTTCGCTGACGTCATGAGAGACGTCAAGGCCTCGGACGAATTGCATCCACTCGCGATAGTGGAGGAGTGCGCTAGCACTCGAAGCTGCCATGGACGACTTGGTAGCCGTCCCACACCACGGGGTCACTGAGAACTAGTTGGTCCAATTGTTTTATCGTGCCATGGCAGAGCCCTTGCGAGGGTACTTCTTTGACAAAACCCAACAGCCCAACATCACATATGACGCATTGAGTGGGGAAGTGGTCTTGTTTGAGGTCAAGTCCATGCCAGTTTCCACTTTCTGGCATAAAGACTTACATAAGGGCAAAAAGTGGAAAGGTCGTACCATCTCGGGCCAAGTTAGGGCCAAGGATCATTTGATCCTTACTGTAGACGAAGGTGGTACAGACGAGGTCCCCTACAGTCAGATTGAGTGGGGGCTCGAGGAGGAGGACAGTAGTGTAGGCCAGGGGAGGACCTATGCTGTTGTCGCGGCTGGAGGGAGGCCGCAAAGTAGAAGAGGAAGTCAGGGCCAAAGGGGCCAGGCCACGGGACGTCGAGGACCGGGCGCACAGGAGGTTGGCGGTCAAGGGAACCGTTAAGTCGGAGGTAGGGGTCAAGGTCCCCCGTCAAATCGTCAAGGTCCCAGTCGGTCCCCGCAGCGATGAGGTGGAGGATCACCTCAAAGGAAAGGAGGTTGGCACCCAGGTTGGCCACAAGGTCGGCCTTGGGAAGATCTGGGTCTGGACCAGAAAGTGTGGCAGCAACGTATGGAGCAGGGCCATTGCATTTACTGTGGTGACCCTGCCCATATTTTTAAATTTTGTCCTAAGTATAGACAGGCTCGATGGGCTGCCCAGGAGTCAAGAGGCAGCCGCCGGTAGGGGTAGCAACTGCCCCTACTATTAGGCCATGTGGGGAAGCGAGCGCGTGCGTACAGGAAACTCCCATACCACATGACCCTTCGGCAGAGGTTGCAGGCCCGTGCCTAGTTAGCTGTCCAGAGACTGCTTGTGTTAGCATCTCTCTAGGCACTTCCCTCATAGGTGTGGCAAAAGAGTTGAAGGAGAGGATGCTTGCCTGGGCCAAAATGAAGAAAGATAGTAAAGGACAGCTAGTGTTAGTTGATGTAGAAGTT